CTGATTTACCACACGAGGAAAACTCCTACCCAGTCAGTTAAGGCAAGAGTTCCCAGGCTTTATTTAGAGGAAGAAATGCACCGGTGGCATTAGCATAAGTTTCTTCCAGGCTGCCCCACTCCTTTGCTCAAGGGCCCTGCCCTCACCTTAATCACCTGCAGCAGCCCTAGTTCTGTGTACAGAAGGAATCTAGATGGCTCCTGCCTATGACTCCCAGAGGTAAGGCAGGTGTGATAGGTTTTAGTGGTGGATTTTTTGAGGTTTGGGGTTTTGTGATTGTTTTTCTCTGCACATTTGGAAATAAATTGCATATCTCAGAAGTACCACAATTTGGGGGACCCCTGGACTGGTGGCGCATCTTAAGCATATGTCTCTCTCCCACGCAGGTTATCAGGGGTCAGGAATGCTTTGATGGCTGGCTCAGACAAGTAGGGGTTCGTGCTGAGGACGTTTTTCTACAACATAGTCACATGGCTTTGGTTAAACCAGAACAGCTGCGCTCTGAGATCCACGATCTATCCAAATGCTAATCTTTATTTTTAAATCATGCCTGTTTATTCTTTGCTTTATGCCATTTTGGAGGAAGATTTTCTACTTTTAAAAACGCTTAATATTTTCTGACTTTTTTAAACTTAGTGGTTGCCCTTCCCCAGTTCCTGTTTTGATTTCTCATTGGCACCTACCTGTGTGTCCATGCAGATGCACACACATAAGCACAGGTACATATATGTGTGTGTGCACAAAGCAGAGCACATTGGTCCCAATTATCTTTTGTTATCATCTCAAAGAATGGTCCAGAAGGCTGCCCATCTGCTTTTCCATGCTAAAGCACACTAGGGGAAGGAGAGTAAGCTAGAGTACATAAAAATAAAAAATAAAAACAGTATTAAGAAAGAGAAGAAGGGTTTTTAACTAGTCTCTGTGTTCCTTGTGTAGACTATTGGCTGAAAGACATCCCCCTGGCACAGGAACATTTTATACCATAATCTTCCTGAACATCAAACTCTGTATTCAATCCATTTTGATCTTTAATTCCCCCCCACCAACTGAGAATTCTCAAGGTTTTTAATTATTTTAATGGTTATACTTGCCAATTTATTTTTTTCCCTTGTTTCCATATTATTCTTTATCCTAAATTGCTCATCCCCATCCTTTTTATTGTTCTGTACCACGACAAGCACGCAGACAGCAATCGCAGGACCTATCAGGCTGTGTTTTCCTGGGCTGAACAGACCAAATACTGTAAGTTTACTGTGGGAAGACACTCTGTACTCCCCTATCATTTTAATTGTTTTCTTCTGTTCCTTCCTAGTATTAATTAATCCTAGACCACTTAGGTGATTGTAAGGGCTCACGAATTCTTAGTAAAGCAATACCCACAATGCCAACAATTCCCCCTACTTGCTGGAAATACTTGTTGGTTACTACATCCTGTATTTACTTATTTTTTTCCTTTCTTACAGCTATATCACACATAATTATTCTAAAATTGACTAATTCACCTAGCCCTTCCTTCCCCTCTTATTCCTAGGTTAGAGCAAAAATTCCTTTTGTTACCCCCTCCGAGCCTGACCTTGTCCTATTGAAGTTAATCCTAATTCTTATTGGTCAGAACATTATTCTACTCCAAGTTATCGAGGGTGCCCAAATTCCCAGTGGCTAATGTAATCCTGTGTATTCCCTTCCATTTCAGACAGTATTTAGAGAGATGTCCCCAAAATGAGGTGTCCTTAACTCTATGCCTTGCAGAGCCTCCTGCTCTTCCACTAATCCCCAGCTTCCTCCTTTGGATTATTCATTTTCTGTGTGGCACTGATAACTTTCTTTGCCTTTGACTGAAAAAACTGCTCTTAAAAAGCAAGAGATCTGATTAGTCTGGCACAATCCACTTTTGGTGAATCTATTTTATATTTTGTCTTGTATATCAGCATCCTACCTTTTAATTCCTCTATCCACCAGATTCTTTTGAAAGACCCTGCATATTGCAGAGGCCATACCTTTTGTCTCCTCTTTTCTTAGAGAAGACACTGCACTTAATTTTCTGCAATAAAATTGCTGTCTTCTAATTTGATAAGCTTATTAAAAATTCTGTCCATCAGGCTGCCAGTTTCATGAACTAAACACTACCCTAGAATGCCAAGTAACTACTTGGTTTTGAGCCTCTGTCTCATCTCCTGCATATTTAAAAGGTTGAATTTTGTTTTTTTTTAGTTTTGCAGCTATCGCAAATAGAGCAAATTTCACCCTGTCACTTTATTCCACTACTCATTTTCATCAATATACATGCTAGGCCTGATGAAGAGTCAGATGAGGCATTTATGAAATGCCTGAAATAGTTTTTCTTCTCAGTACCCCTGTAGAGTGGCCCTCTTTTTTTTTTTTCTTGTTCTCTATTCCAGTTACAAGATTATACAGCCTTTTAGATTTGCTTTAGCTTCCTTTATAGGCTCTAATACAACCTGACAACGTGAGAATTGTGTAAAGTCCCCCTTCTCTCATAGTTTGCCGCCTTTGACATTCGGTGCATTTATACCCTCCAGCTCATTTTTCCAGAACAAAGAAGGGGTCAAGTTTTTCTGCCAGCCACATTCTTTGCATCTCACTTGTGAACAAGAGCAAATGTGATAATTGCTCCAGCATGGATGAAGAAGAAAGTCAGGAAGCACAGTGAACAGCAATGTGACTCAGGAAAACCCAGGCTAACCTGTGCCAGAGTACAGAGGCAGACCAGCCCTCCTGTAAATTATTCTTGGTACAATGAAGTTTCTCTCAAGTGCACAACAAGGATGAGGCAAGTGTTGTACTTGTAAGGGTTTTCACATAGAAATTTCCCACTTCCCTCAGCAATTCATTTTATTCCCTCCCTGCCACCTTAATTTCCTGCAGTATCACTGATTAGAAAAGTAGAAGCAGAAGTCTTGGTAAAGCCCCAAGGAAGAGAATTCGTAGCTGGTAAGGCACTTCAACACAAACCAGCCAACTCTGACCTTACAGAACTTTCACCCAGCTTAAGGGACCGGCAAAGTTGGCATGAAGTTAGAAAGCACTTTCCAGCTTTGTTTAGCTAAGAAGGCAAGTCTTCTAAACTCAATCCTTCAGTCTCCACCACAGCCCATTTACCCCACACCACTGCATCTGGGTAGAGCAGGTCACTGCAACCAGGACACTCAAGGCAGGGTGAGAGGGAAGGAGGCCATTCTATTACCCCTCAAATGCTGAGCTGAATCTCCATATCTTTAGCCCAAAAATTCACACTTCTGGAATCCAAATTCCTTAAAGACCCAGGCAGTCTTAAAAACCACACCTATTTTTTAAAATATTATAAAGATCAATGTTCACCAATCAGACACATTCTTGCCAAAATGCCATTTATTGCAGTATACCCTTACATGGCATACAGATAACCGAATGTTGCATCTTCTGTTAGAATTCATCTCATTTGTACCACTTAAATAACACAGAATGTCATGTTTGTTTCACAAACTGTCAGTTAAGACTACCAAAATATACAGTTTTTTTTCCTTTCCCCCTAACAAGGTTGTGAGGTACAACTGAAGTTTACTACTTTATCTTCCTGTGCTTTACAAGAACCTTTCCATAGACAGACCTATCAAACAACATTTCTACGTTCCTATACAAAGCAAAGAATTACAGCTGAAATTAACACCATCTGGTCATTGCATTTAACCTATAAAAATTTATTCAGTAAAAAAGAAAAAAAAAAGAAAAAAAAGAAGAAACAACCAAAAACAAAACAAAAACCAAAACAACAACAACCAAAAAAAAAAAAAAAAAAGAAAAAGAAAAGAAAATACATAATGGTTGTTGCAGCTTTACTTAAAAACAGCCAGCTACACATATGCACAAGCTCTCTGTGCATAAAGAAGAGTTTGGAATCAAGAAGTTTTGGGTTCTTTTCTTGAGTTTGCAGAGAAGGCACCAATTTTAGCTGCATAGCAGCTCAGGAGTGTTTTATACTTCATTTAAATTACACAGGTTTTTGACTGTTAATGTGCAACATTTATACCAACTGTTGCAGTATTCTCCAATATTCTCCGATCATTCCCTCTGGCTCAACAGTACAAATATTTACATCAGTTGTAAACACTCCTCCACCCACCCCATACCTTCTGCACTGAGTGATGAGGAACGGAACCGGCAAGAAGCTACCCAAAGGCAGAGCAGAAGTAAGGCTTTGTACAGAACACCACACTTGTCTTCTCACTCGGCTTGAGATACTCTGGAGAGCTCCAGGCCCCCAGTGAGGCCTCAGTGCCTGCCATCTGGCACACACTGACCACACACAGCTTCAGGCACCCGGACTTTTCTTGGGAAGCATTTTTTGGCCTTTGCTAGTCTGACATCCCTGGAGCTGCTTCTCTCCAAAGTGCAGGAATAGCTTCTGAAGAGCTGTTCCGGAGCAGCGAGAGTCAAGCACACAAACTGTTGTGTCTGTTTAAGGCTATCTACACTCAGCCTTCCCCAGACTCAGTTCAGAGGCTTCTCTACTCCTCAGCTGCAAAGTCATGGCGTGCTGCTTTCTGTCTCCCACCCCTGTGTGCCAAGGCATTCTGTGGCACAGATGGCAGACCAAGTTCTGAAACAACCACTGTGAACATGTGTGTAGAGGAAGGTGGCGCAACACGCCATCGGTCACCTGCCGACTGCACGGTAGCGCGGGGTAAGATCACCAACAGCACGACAGCCCAGCCTTGGTTCAGCACCTAACAAAGGGAATGTCTGAGATGAGACTGCTTAGAAAAATCTACTTACCTAAGTCTTGAAAGAGCAAGAGGGTAGTGGGACAGTCCAACACTATTGGTAAAATTAACTCTCTACGTAGTTTTGGGGTCTTTGGGGTTTGTTTTTTTGCTAATCTATGTACCAACTGCTTAGGAGCTGGTTCTGAGTATGGGATAATGCTTCCAAAGTATAAGTTATTTTAAACCATGTGACAGTCATTTGTTTACTCTGCCCCTCACACCAACTTTCACTAGAAATCATGTTCACTTTGATGTTTAATAGGCATTAAGTGCTCCAAATACAGCGGCCATAAAGAGCTAGAGCATTGCAGCATACCAAATGTCTGCACAGTACAGACACTTGTTACACTCAAAACACATCTATGAGTTAAATAGGAAGGATCCCTGCTATACAGAATTCGAGCACTGATAATTGTTTATTCTTGCTAGCCCTTTCCCTAAATATCAATAGTTCTATACACACAGTGCTCCCTTGTCTTCTCCCCACCGCCTGCTCCAGCAGTCTCTAGATAAACCAAAGTGAGTTTAGGAACTTGCAGTCCCAATTCTGTTTAAAAAAAAAAAAAAATCGTGCAGGAAAGCAGGGAATGTTCAATGAATCCAGATCTACTTTGTAGTTATAAGATTTCCAATGGCAAAGTGGTACGGGCAAATAACCCAATGATCGTATGGCTTAAATTTAATGCAAAGTACACTAGGAGGTCCACGTGCAGGGAGAGAAGAATCCAAGAAAGATGGATTAAGAAGTGTCCTGAAGATCAGTGTTTATGCATAGAATTCTTCTTGTTTGTGTGGTTTTTGGTATCCTCCATTCGACTGTTTTGGTTCATCCAGTGAATAGCTGCCTTCGTCTTTTTTCTTCATTCTGTACAGCATAAATGCAACTAGAAACACTGCAAACACCAAGCCTACTAGTCCTCCAGCAATAACACCTAGAAGGGGAGAAAAAGACAAATTACTCCAGGTGCCACATCAGATAATGCTACTATGATTTTAAGTTCCAGAAATTAATTTGTCCTACTGCCCCCTCCCAGTCACCCTGCCATTACCAATCACCTACTTATCTACTAGCCAATCCTAGGGACAGATCTCCCACCGGGCCACACTACAAAGCACACAAGGCTCTGGTGTTCAACCCTAGTAATTTGATCCAGACAGCAACAGAGCAATTTAACTGTCATTTTTGAGAGGAGTGAAGGAATAGGTTTAAACATAAAGTTGCAGATAAAGCAGCCACTGCTGGCTGGCATTAGCAGACAATATTTGCCCTTGCTATGGTTTTGAGAACACAGAATTGTGAATCACCACCCTCATTTCAGAGGTCTAACATAAAGGGTTGGCTTCAGAGATGCCAACAGAGATGTACTTGCAGAACTGCAGCTTCTGCTGCCTGGAGACTCCTATAGGGATCTGCTTTTACCAATTAGAAATCCAGAATATCTGGTACCTCCAAGAACTTCTTTTCTGTCCATAATTCCTGAGGCTCCTGCTGCTTTGGCATTCCTCCCAGAGTCAGCCAGTACTTCTGAGTTCTGAGTGGGAACCAAATCCTCATCTTTAGTCAAGATGAAGTCTCCCTGTTGGGACATAAAAGGAAGGTTATTCATGTTTCTCATCATGTCTGTAACTGGAGACTTTCCACAGCTTTCTTTTTTCTCATCTAAAACCCTCCACCAATACAACCTATTAAATCAATCATTGTTTTTGAGAAATTACCATTCTTTCCTGCCAAACCAACTGATTGCATACTATTAAAGCCATCTCCCTAGAAAGGGTGTCAAAACTGTTAGTCCTTACTGGGTCTCCAGAGCCATCTTCAGAAATCTCCTCTTGTGTAGGAACAACATCCTTTGGAGCTGTCGTCGTGGGGATGGCAGTGATGTCTCCCTCATGATGGACAGTAGAGTGGGGCTCAGGGACATCTTTAGTGTCTGGTACATGAGAGCTGGGGATTTTAGGTTCGAGCTCATGGACTACATCTGAGGCTTCTGAAGGAGTTACATGAACCACTGAAGGAAAGTGAGTAGTGGGGCTTCTCACTGTTGTTGTGACCACATCACTCGTTGGTTTCCCATCAGGTGAGCCCAGGACAGCTACTTCGTCCTTCACAGCTACAACTGGTTCCTCTGTCACTAGATTACTAGTTGCAGAAGGAGATACTGCTTCCTTTTCGGTTCGGCTCTCAATCCCGGGAAATAGCTGCTCATTGAAGTCCACTGGTGTTGCCAGTACTGAGGAATTAGTTGGTTCTCCTAGGATTCTCCAGGTGTGAGACTGGTCAGTCAGAGGACCTGAAAAACCAAAAAAAGTATTATTCTTGCCCAGTTTAGAGAGACCTATTAATAGTATCTTCAGGACACCACTCTAAGGAGGATGCCTAACCTGCATAGCCAATTTTCATAATAACAGCAGTTCAGTTTGTAATTCCTCATTCTTTTCTGTGGAATAAGGAAGGGACAGACCAACAGGCTATCAGCAATACTTTGTTAGTCATCTGCTTCTCCCCAAAGCAAAGTGCCAGTCTGTTTGCGGTGACAAGGGGGAAGTCTGCTTTCAGTACAGTGGTTCCTCAGGGTGGTTAGCTGACTTTTTTCACATTAATATTTTTGCTTGATTCAGAGCAGTCACACCTTTAGTCACTAGCACATTTGGCACCAATTTCAGGGTGTTATTCCCGCAGAATTTAATGTGAAATACAAGCCTGTGGCTGGAAGGAAGCAGAAGGATACCATGCTTCAGCTTTCGATAGCTTGCTCTTTTCTAGTAGCACCTCCTCAACTTTAGCACTGAACACCAAAGATCTCTCTCATGCAGTTTAGCAATCATTTTAATAGACTTTTTCCCCACCCTAAACCCCCTTCATTCTGCTTATAAAAAATTATGGCCCATGGGAACATGCACCTCTGATGACAGATAAAATTTTCCTCTTGATGTATGTTGGCAGGTTGGGGTTTACACACCCTCAAATGGTATCTCCTAGCAGCTCATAAAGGCCCTTCTTATGGTCTCTTTTCCCCATGAGTAAAGAATCACTCGAGTTTCATAACATTCTTCACACAACATCTCACATTAGCAGTCACACAGAGTCTACCTACTTCTGCTCCCTTTCAAGTCTCCTACAACTCGTTTTCTGCTAATTGTTAGTATCTCAAGCAATATAAGATTAATAGATTAGGCTCTTTCTCTGTTCCCAGCTCTCATATTCTGGGTAGGGTTGTGTGTGTGTGATTCCTCCCTCCACCCCCCTCCACTTGGTTATTCATCAAGATCTCAATTGCCACATTCTAGAAGGATCAAGCACTAACAGTACAAGTGCTAATAGCTCACCTGCACCTGAACCTGAGAATGTATCATCTTCATCACCAGATGAATCAAGGTCCTCAGGAGGAAGATTCAGATTTGTAGTTTGCTTTAAAGAGAAGGAGAAAAAAGGAGTGTCAGTGATGAGATTAAAGTTATCATGTTGCTTGCACCAAGTCCTCTAAGGGCTCCTAAAGGTTACACAAACTTTCTTTGTTCAGATTGCATTTTTTCATCTTCCTTCACTCCAGCCCCCTTCCCAAAAAGAGTAGTTCTGGTTACTCTGTTTGGTGCTAAAAAGGTCAGTCTTGCTGTCTCCTTTCTCTGCACTGCTTCCAGGCTACACTTGCTTTGGGAAAGAAGAACGCAAGGAATCCATTCAGAGCTGCATCCTGGTAGTGACACTCAGTCCTTACACAACATAACCAGTCTGCGTCAAGTGCTGACTGCTCGTGTCTTCCCTATCTACCAACCACTTCACCTGCAAGTTACTGCATTAATTCTAAGAACCAGAAAGGAAGGGGAGACAAAGTAGTTTGCCTTCTCTCCCTTTCTGAGCCCCTCAAACACTGTTCACGTATCTGAAACTACAACATCTAACTGGAAGTAGAATGAGAGCCCCGTTTTATAAGTGTGGGCGCTCAAACTAAGTCCAGGAGCCAGCCTTCCCTGTAGAATACAGCCCTGAGCTTTCTCCATTTATGCTCCAAGGAGTACACTAACCAGCATAAAAGTTCGGTTGCTGAAGCAAGAGGCCAAACTCCTGTTCTAGGGCACTTGTTTGTCATTGCACACAATGCTCAAAGCTGCTCAGGATCTCTAAAGAAGACAATGCTATTTTAATGTTTACTAATTACTTCAGAGTGATTATTTCATGAATCTTATTAGCTTGTCCTGTATACGCTTACTGTTCTTATCAGTACAACATGCCTGACTCTCAGCTCGTCACTAGCCCCCAGGTTTATTTCTGTAGGGCTACCCTTACCTACCAAGTCATTCACCCTTCTCAGATTTCAAACCAAAGCCCTATAAGTCACCTTTCCTGAATTTTATCTTTTCCTATCCAGCTACATTCCCTGTTTCCCAAATTTTGACTTCTATCCCATCCTCAAGATGCCTTTGTCACCCCTTTCCAGCGCTGTCCCATCTTCAAGTTTAGATGTTGCATTGCATCACCCAAGCTGTGGGATCCCTGGGATCCCAAGGAGCGGGAAATCTTATTTTATTATGTAAAAAAGAACATGCATTCTTCACAGCTTTGCAACCAGGCCCATGGTATTTCTCTAGCTTGCATTAATACAGTTTCACTTAAAAATGAATATAACACTCATCTTCATTCCAAGAAGTTAGCCAGCACTAGTATGTACTGTCAAAGCAATCCAGCTCTCTGTTGTCACTTTATTATCTACAATGGATGTGTTTATTGACCTTATCTCCTTTTCATTCTTTTTATGACACCAGGTTTATCCAGTTTTACCTTCTATCCTTAATATCTTATCCATTCCCCACATTTCCATGGAACAACTAGTTTCCAAGGTGGTTGACTAGCCCATTTGATTTGACCTCTCTGAAGACAAGTATCCAAGTTGCCACCAACCCAATCAGGTCCAAGATCTTACCCCTTCTAGGCAATCATTGTAGTTAGATGACTTTTTTTCTTTAATAACAAGAAAGTAGGAACAAAATCCTCTCATTAAACTTTTTAGCACTTTCTTTCCCTACTGAAAATAAACCCCCAAAACACTATTCCTGAAGCTTCTGCAAGCATAAATCTCGAGTAAATTGCCCTTCGATCTCTTGCTTAACTGCCTGTCATGAGGTAATTTGGAATTTTAGATTTGTCCCTGCTTGTTTGCACTGTGCTTTTGCAGTCTTCCACAGAAAGTAGGTCAGATAAGTACTTCCCCTATGTTTTCCTTCTCGTGTCGAAGGGTGGTGACTCACACAAGCTGATCTCACTACACTTCAAATATTAAAGAGTACAAACTGTTGGTGCATAAAGAATAAAGAAATAACTGCCAGGCTTCCCAAACTCGTCTCCCTCACCCTTTCCAGTACGTTCGGAAGCTAAGTCAGGCTTCAGGAATTGCACCATTTTTGTTGATGGGGGTTGGAGACCGTTCTTCTCCCTCACTTCTTGCACTAGCAGAGGCAAGCACAACCCTTTGTTCTTCCACTCAGCCTGTTTGAGTGAAAAAGGGGGACGCACTGCAAAAGGGGAAAAGGGGTGTGTGTGTGCATTCTCCTCCCAGTGAGAAGACTCTACATTGAAGCAGCTAGAAAATAATCTCTCCAGCTTTTCATTGAAGAAAGGGACTGCCAATACAGTTTATGTCACCATACACCTTTCTCTAGGATAGAGACTAACTTCCCCCCAGATCTGAATCTCCAGGGGTAGCTCATACCAGATTTCAAAGAACACCTGGTCAGGCTGATGGTCTGCAGACCTTAACAAACCCTCCTGAAAGGATCACAGATTGTCAATAAACAAAATAGGAACTCTTGATCTTGACTATTGAGCCTGCATCCCTTGCCCTTGTGGGGTTAACAGGCAAGGCAGCTTGTTAGTCATGCCATGCTTCCTTTCTTGTTTTCGAGCATGTCCAGCCACCCTACCCTTACACTTCCCCTCACACCTGAGCTCTAAGCCTCTTCCCAGGCTGCTGCATGTTCTGCTTCTCCATAACCTTTGTTATGTACTTGTTTGAACCCTAGTTTGATTTCTGTATCTGAGCAGGGATAGCTAGGTCCTCCTCAAAAGGGGAAAGCCCAGTGCAGCCCAGTTAAACCAATGGAGACCCACGGTGTTCCAGTGTAGAGGTGTCCAGCTGCTGCTCAGCACTCACCCTACAAACACAAAGGCAGACTCAGACCAGTTCCTGTCCCCTGAGGTTGGCTTCTACACTTAAAAGAATAATAGAAAATATGCATCAGGATTAATAAAGTCTGCTTTCCACAGTTTTATACGAGAACTTAGTGAAGTTCCACTACGTGTGTCCTTCTACTTAGTTGTGTCTTGTTGTCTCTTGTCCCAAGCTGTTCCTCTGTTGTTGTGGCATCTCCCCTTGACCAGGCAGTTTAAGGCTTGGGAACTGAGAGGAACTTTCTTTGTCTCAAACACTCAAGGGACAGTATAAGATTATGCACGTGTGGATAGCAGTTAGAATACCCACAAGGTGATGTAACTTCATGAGATCATCTAGTTTCATGACAGATTAGTATTAAGGAACATTTGCCTAATTCATGTAACTGTATGGTTATATAAAGACTCGTTTTTGCTCCATAGATTACACATTCAATGGGCATAAGAGGCAGTAACCTCTCCTTATGGCACCACAAAATACAAGTACTGCAGAAAGGTCATGCTTCTATAATGATCTGCTGCTGAAGGATTTCAGACACAGCAAGGTTAACATAAAACACTCAGGACAGCATTGGAAGGGATTTGAACTAATTTGTGTTTGCATCAGGAAGATGGACTGTGCTGTTCAAACAACAAACACCTCATGGTCAAGGCTTTTCCATGACCTTTTACTGCAGCTGAGTTACACCAATGGGAAAGGTTTTGATTAGCCAAGAGGATTAGGGGCACAGAATCCAGGTTGAGTCACCAGGCTGTGCTATCATACGAAAGAGCTGAAAATAAATTCCAGCTTAAAGCAAGCTTACTCTACCAACAACTTTGCATTGCTCTAGCTCAAAATTTTATTATCAGATTAATATAATCAAACATGGACATGCTTTTAGAAATTACTTCCATCATCATCCAGTTTGTTTATTAGCCCACCAAGACTATTTGTGGACCATTCACACAGCAATTGATGAGAGAGATGTTGGATAAACACACCTAAGTTCAGGTAGTGGATTCTTTGAAGGACCTCTGGTGGTATCTCGTATTCTAGTCAAAAAACTTTCAATTCTTACAGTGCACCTATAAAACGTTGCTTTTTTACCCAGCTCATATGTTTTTGTTGAGGTTTTTTTCAGCCATTGAGACAACTGGTTAGAAATACTTGCCCAGTCCTTTTGATTTGCTGTTACTGAATTCAGTTACATGTGAGGGGTAAAATTTTTAACCAGTAGAAGATCCCCTTCCCCAAGGATCAAAGTAGCCTGTTTAGGGAAAACCCTGGGGTGACTGGTAGCTTCTGCTCTTGCTGAGCGCTGTATTGTTGCAGAACAATGGTTATTCAGTTCTGCTGGGACAACCAGAAAGCTGCTTAGTGGCATCTTCAATTTAATCAACAATAGGCCAGGCTTTCACAACTCATTAGCAATATTATTGGCTCCAGAAGTCTGACATACTCTAGATTTTTTTTTTTTTAATCATCATTTTTAACTATTCTTCAGTCTTCATCTTGGTCACAGTCTCAATACGTGAGTCTGTGTTTATTCCATCAGCTGTCACAGAGCTCCCTCCTGCTACAGCACAGATCTGAAGTACTCTCTCATGATGAAGGGGAGATTTATAGTTTATTAGCTGAATCTCGCCCTGCCCAAACTAGGAACCACATTTATTTAATTTGATATATGCAAAAGGAAACAGCTTTTCTCAAATTGCTCTTTGAGGTAAGCAAAAACACTGGCTTTGCCACAAGCTGCTACAAGCCCTAAACTAGATTAAGGATGATTTGTATCCCACTTTTATTAATCCTAGTTAGTGATCAGCAGTGTCAAAAACACTTGAAATCCTCCATTATCTGAATAAAGCTGTTAAATTTGCACATTTGTTTCTCCTAATAAATCCTCCTCACTCAGGTGAAAAGGAAGGAGCTGAGCTCTCCCACCTCAAACACCTCCTTAAGCATTCTGTGAGATTATTCCAACTTTATGGAAGGCAAAACCAATGGTTTGGTCTTGTTTAAGAGGTATATAAGAGCAACTCAAGCATTTGCTCTGTAATTTGGCTACCAAATAGGACACTAGACCAAGTAGAAAAATACTTTCACAAGGATTCGAACAGCTCTAAAATAAACAGAAAGGTTTGTCTTTCCTGTATATTGAAGAGCAGAGCTAGTCCCAGTAACAGAAATGCTTTCTGAGGCAGAGTAGAGCCTGAAGAGCTTCTAACCTCAAAATAATCTTGATATTAGTGTGGGGGTAGGGAAA